CAGTGTCACTGTGCAAGCTCTTAAAAATACCATTCCTTTTTTAAGTTGAGGCAGAAAAGAAAAATCTTAGCCTAAAAATGGCAGGGATGCAAGACATTTTATTGGGACTTTTCAATTTTAGAGGAGAGAAGCCCATAAAAAGCCTTGATATTGATGCTGTAATCCCTGAGATTTCAGTAATTATTCCTAGTCAGATGTATTAACAGGGAGTTAAAATTGAGAGTTCTTAGTCATTTATAGTGAAAATGTAGCAGAGTGGTAGTTGTAAATTATGCCATTCAGATTTAAAACCAGTTTTAAAGAAATCCATTGTTCTCTGTGCGTGGTAATAAAAATACCACAGATTTTGAATCAGTACATATTAATGTGTAGAATGGTGGGCTGCAGTAATTTTTAAAGCTACACTTAGTATTTTTTTTTCTTTATCCTCATTTACTTTGCTGAGTGAAATGGGGACTCCTGAGGTGTGAGTAGAACATGCCTTCACAGGCATTGATACAAGAACCAGCAAGAAAAAGCAGTTTTGTCAACAGGTTCATTTTTGTCCACATGAGCCTTGGCCAGAGTGAAAGCTGTGTGATGTTAGTGATGTTTAACTGCTGAGTGGACCCAGACACAGACTGCAACCCTCAGGTCATTTTACCTATCGAAAAATTGATAGTTTGCCCACATTTAATCTCTGGATTAACTGTGGAATTGGTAGTAATTGCCTAACTGTGAGATCAGCTGTGAGTTAAAATTTGTGTTTACTCATGATAAAAACTCCCAGTCTGCACATAAATAAGGCCACGTATCAGTATTCAAACACCCTCCAATCAGGGGGGGAGAGGGGGAAGGATGCCTTGTTCTTGAAAAGGAGTATAAAGCAAAGCAGTCTTGGTGAGAATAACATCAGATGAATCCTTGCCACCCTTGGGGTGAACACCAGGCACTCTGGACCTTGTGGCTGTGTAACTGAGCACAGCAGAGAGATGCTGTTGAAACATCCACAAATTTGCTTCCCAGCCTGGTTGTTTATCTTGTATGTTTTAAATACTAAGATTATCTCTACAGGATTAGTAGAATCCATCAGATCTCTGAAAGGGCAGCTTTAAAGTTGGCTGAACCCCCACTGATGGAAGGGGTGAGGAATGCAGAGTGTGGGAAGCATCCATCAGGAAAAAATAATGCCTTGGTAACAAGGATTTGTGAGAAGGAACTGCTTAGCAAACACTGAAGGTTGTAATAAATCCTGTTTGGATGTACAGATAAAAACTCAAAGCAGGAGAAAGCTGGTACAGGAACCTGGAGCCTTCTAACAGCTTGGCTTCAAAGCTGAGTCTTTACATCTCAGACCAGGTGGGTCAATGCCAAGGGTGGAGGAGCAGGTGGTGTTTGTCAGCTTTATTCCATGGGACAACTCGATTTCCTCTCCCCTTTCTGCTGCACTCTGCAGTCGAGAGTATGAGACCAACCCTGTACTCATCTAAATCAGTAATTAGGCTTTAATACCTGCACTCAGGGCACTGTGGGAATTGCAGATATCCTGATCTTTTGGAGTGGATGGAATGGTGTGAGTCCTGCTGCTGAGCATCCTTGTTCATCCTGGAATACTGACTTTGAACTCAGTGTCAGTTTTGGTGTGTGGGAGTGAGTGTTACGTGTTTCTAAATGTGAAAACACAGTACCCTTTTAAAAAGAAATACATATATATTATTCATTTCTCCTAAGGGGATACTGGAATCTTTCTTTCAACTTTTAGCCACAGATACACAGTTTCTAGTTTAAGAGGCAGGATTTTTATGTTGTGGGTTTTTTCCCCTCCCACAGCTCCCCCCAGCTGATGCCTTTTCCACTTATTAATTGGGTATTCTGTCCTCAGTTGAGGGAGAGATGTGGGATAGCAAATTAATTATATGGGGTTGAACTATGATTCAGGGCCATGTTTCTTGGACTGCTAAGCCTGTTTTGATGAGCATGAAAATCCAGAAACACCTAGCAGAGATTGTTTCCATCCTCTGGAGTAGATTTTCAGTGTAAAGGAAATTTAAAAGTAGATTTCCAGTAAAGGAAAGCAGTGGCTATAGTAGGAGTTTCCTGTTGGTGGGTTAGTGGTGGAGCTGTAAGAAATGTGAGCCAGGATTGACTTTTGGCTCTCCATTAATTATGCTGGACAGGCAGGACTGGCATGGAACTTTAGCTTTTCTGAGGCCTTTCAGTCCTCCATGCTTTTAAAAATTACTTTAACATGATGGGGACTTTTGATAGTGCATTTTTGGTCTTTTCATCAGCATTGCTCATGGAATTAGTTTTAAGTGAGGAGTAGTCTGAGGGGGGCAAATGTCAGGAATTGCAGTCATGGAGGTGGCTGTGGGACAGTAATGTAACAAAACTAAGTGGATTAAGCCCTTAATGCCACTAGAGAAAAGGAGATTTGTGTGTCCAGCTGCCTGTGAAGCCAAACAGTTTGTTAGGTGCATATGCAAAAAAGGATTGGATAAAAAAAACAAACAAACAAACAAAAAAAAACCAAAATGGGAGAAGGTTTTGAGACTTCAGCAGCAGCTCTGGTCAGTGCCACCTTGCAGGGATCCATGTTGAACAACCCCAGCAATGGCCCAGCAGAAAGGTAAACAGCTTAATGGAATTCATCAGTTAAAGGTAAGGCTCTGCAAGCATGAAAATAAGTAGAGAACTGAGGCAGGAGAGCTGGTATTAGCAGAAGAGAGAGAAAAAGCAAAGCCCACCCAGCAAACCCAAGTTAAAATAACCCCAGTGATGGGGTAGCAGCCTGAAAACTGGGTTAAGGAAGTAATCCATGTGTGCTTGAAAGCAGTGTGAAGTGGTAATGGAGCTGTGGCTGCAGGGACTTGGCATCTGGTCCTGGAGCAAATAAACCACAGGGCTGTTGACTTTGGGGCTTAGCTCAGCAGCAGAGAGAGGAGAAGCTGCAGGGTATGTGACCACATCCAAGTGTTTGTGATTTACAGGATTTCATGCAAGGGTAGTGGATTTGGGAGTCAAGGCAGCTGATCGCCGTTTGAGTGGAAAATACAGTTTTTTTCTGTATTTCACTGATTTGTTTAGCATTTAAATGTATTAGTTTATTGCACATTGTACTATCCCTTTCATGCTTCCTTTTTAAGCTTGCCTGATAATATGTTTAGGTGGTACCTCCTGAAAATTCAGGTGTAATATAGCATATTTCACATTAGCAACTAAAACGCTTGTTTGGTGAAGTCATTGAAAATTATTTCCTTTTTTTCAATTGCCTACTAAAATTGAGGACATTCTTTCAAAGTCAGTGAGAGTTCACATGAGGAATCATAAAGATCCATTTCGAACCCCCTTGTACTCTGTAACAATAGAAGGGCTACAAATTTCATTTTATTTTCTTCATTACTTATTATATCCCCTCTAGAACCATTTCTTTATTATAGACTATCATGTAAATATTATTTGGAGTACTTTTAAAGTACACAGTACTATAAAACTTCAATTACTTACTTTGACAACTGTTATGCTAGCTGTTAATATGCACTTTAAAGCTGAGAGTTCTCCTGCCTGTTTAGTCACTCTTTGGTTTGGTGGTGTTTGTTAAAAATTATATGACTGCTCATACAGCATAAAAATGAATTTTAAAAATTCCTCTGCTCAAGAGCATTAGGCAGTACAAACTCCACAGGAGGCTTTTGGTGGCCAGTGTTTTTCATAATTGCCTTTTATAGAGTTTCTTGCAATGTAGAAAGAGATGTAAATAAAGAGCAGCATTGTTTGGGATGGATATGCCAGATTCTTTAAGCTCTGCACTCAAAATCACAGAGTAACCACTGGGGTGAGAAAGGGCAATGTGCTTTAAGGAGGAGGAGGTGGTACTGAACTCATGTTCCCCAAACACCACAACCCATTTCCCAGCCAGACAATATTCCCCTTCCTTTATATGCAAGTTTCCATCATAAAGTCTGTGAACTGCAATAGGCCTTTGTGCTAATGTGTTTGCCCTGGGAAAGCATGGATATAAATACATTTAAATACTGGATGTGGGAGTATGAGGCTTTCTCAGAGGTAATGTAGACACACCTTCATGCACCATACCAGGTGAGATGGCACTGCTTCAGGAAAGATTGTAAAAACAAGAATAAAGAAAGGGTTGTATAAAACAATTCCATATTTCTGAGGGAGACTAAAATTTTCCATAGCTGTGTGGTACATTTTTATTAATGGGCTGTAATGTACCTTTCATCATCATTCAAATGAAACTGAAGGAGGGTTTTAGAGCACAGCAGTGACGTTTCCACAATCCTGAAAACAGTTAATCTATTTCCTGGGCTTACCAGGCAATGGTTTCAGCACCATTGTACTCTGCAGTTGTCATGCTGTGGTTTTACCCATCTTTTCAGCAACTCTCCAGCCACTGTTGGAGGGATGTTAAACGTTCTGAGTGTGGTAAGTTGTTGGTATGCTGTGAAAATGCCTAATTTAAGGTACTGCTTTGAGTTCTTCTCTGGAGGGAGCCTGATTTCTCCATTGCCTGTGTAGATGATCTCCATATCTTGCCTGGGAAGTTCCCTCTCACATCCTCCATACTCAGGAACACATTGTGTTTTTAATCTTGGGATTTTTCATGGGCTTGTTTTCCTCTGAATGCAGGAGCCCATGAGTTGATAGGGGTGGAACCAAAGCCAGCACAGGCAGATCTCTTGCAGGAACCTGCAGATTCCTGTGTCCTCATTTTGCCATTGCAGATTTGCATTTGCCATCAAAGTGCATGTTGTGTTTCCTTGTCCACACAACTCCTCACATGTGCATGGGGGTTTGTAAACAAAAAATGGAATTGGCATAATGGTTAAAAACAAGCAAATTCCTACCATGTGTCAATGTGTTTGCCCTGACTTCCCATCTGGGCTGGAATTCATGAGGCAGTTAATGAGCATTCCACGTGACTGTGTTTTATATACCCAAGCATTCTTTGGTCTCTCACCCCTAGCTGAGGAAGTAAAGTCTCTGATTCTGATTGCCAGAACCCCCCTGATTGCTGCAGGAGTCATTGGTGGCCTCTTCATCATCGTCATCATGGGCCTGACGTTCGCCGTGTACGTTCGGCGCAAAAGCATCAAGAAGAAGAGAGCACTGAGAAGGTTCCTGGAGACTGAGGTGAGCTCGGGCTGCCTCTCACAGCCTGTCTGGAGGGAAATGAAGGCTGCTTTGCTCCTATATTAGAGATGTTCAGCTCTTCCCTTACCTGTAGAAGTCTTTCTGCTTACCTGTGCAGACTAAACTGGTGAAAAGAACAAAGTTGTTTCAAGGTGCTGGTTTTCTGCACAGCTGCGGATTCGTGGCTTCTGAAGACCAGGAAAAGTTCCCTATGGTCACTAGAAGGTGTGTCCCACCAGATTTTTCAGCTCCCATCCTGCTCTTCACTGAACTTCTGTTCCAGTTCTTCAATACATTTAGCAGCTCTCATGGTTAACTATTACAGGGTTTCATTCTGGCCATGTTTAGGTTGGCTTTTAAGCCTAAAGTAAGTTCCTTCAGCAAGCTCTGCTACAAACTTCATGCTTAAAGGCAGATGTTGTAACTTACTGTTGTTCCTAGTGCCTACAATACCTTTGTAATCCAGATTTTGTAGTTTCAGATTTTGTAGTGCAGATTTTGTCAGAGGCTGTAGTAATGATCAGTAATAATCATGTATTTTATTAAGCCGAGATACTCCACAGAGCTTAACCAACTGAAGTTCACTGTTCTGCTGGCAAGAACATGTAGCAGAGCTATAGCAGAGTGCTGTGACAGCTCCATCCTGCTCTTTGAAGTGTCATTAGTGAAAGGGGCAATCTAGGAAGTATGTTTAAATGTAACATTAAATGTATATCTATCGGCTACTGCAGTGGTGATTACTGTCATCTCCTCAGTCCTATACTTGAGACACTTTGCAAATGATGGTATTTTTAAATTAGACTGCACCTTTGTGAGATAATAAAGCTTGGAAATGCTGTTAGCTAGTGACTCTTTGATAAGGCATTATTAACAGTGCTGTTTTCTCTTCTGTTCCAAGGATTCTGCTCCCACTCAACTCCGCTCTAGAGCCTGGGAGTAAATGATTTATGCATCCCCAGTCTGTTTGCACAAGTATCTTCCTGTTTGGCTAGAATTTGTGTTGCTTGTTAAACACTGTTCAGCTGTATAGAAAGCTTAACAATACTCAGTGCCTTTACATTAATAAATCTTGCCACTGTATCAGCCCATACTTAAGCATAAATTATTTTAAGCAGGTGGTTCTCCCTTGCATTGGCTTTGAAATCCAGTTTTCATTTTTCATTTGGTCAGATAAAAGCTGTGGCTGGCAATAGTCCTGAGGGACCAAGGCCTCCTACTGAACATGTGGGGAAGCTGCTGCCTTGGGTGAGAAACTGAAGATTAAATCAGGAGCATCCTGAAATGAACACACAAGCAATTAGCTTTAGTTGAAGTCTCTCTTTCTAGCTGGAGGCTGTAATAGGACTTACTCTTTCTGTAGATCATTCTCTATAAAACCCTATAAGCCTGGTTTTAGACCCCCACAACACATCCCCTCTTCTCCCTGCCATGACTGTGGCACAGAACCTCTTTTCATCCTTCACAAACTGAAAATACAGAAGTGTGCTGCCAGTTTGCTTAATTTTCTTTTAAAGCAAACCTTTTTTTTTCATGGTATAGATACTGAACATCTAAAGTAGGACAGAGGAAAGAGAAATCACTCAACTTGTTGCTGTTTGGATTTGTTATGTTTTCTTCCCCGTTAATTGCCAGATACTGGTATTTTTACCTGAACAAAACTAATTAGTCTGGTCAACTAATTAAGTAGTTCATAGTGCCCAAAGAGCTATAGAAGTAGATCTCAAACTGCAGAGCATGGTGCATTTAGCCTTGTAAACAGGCAGCTTTGAAGTGCTGCATTGTTTTCAAACCAATTGGAGTAGGAGAAGCTCTGAATTATTTTCCTCCTTCTGTAAAGGAACAAAATGTTTTTCATGTGTTGTATTGAGTATTGTGCTCTATGTGTATTTTAAACTTATTTTTAAAGAAGCATTGTTTTTCTGGCAGAGATGGTATGAGATCTATGAGCATTTTTATCTGAATGTGCCATTGTGGCTCATTTTCAAAGTTTCTTGGGACATCTTGAGCAAATTGTTTAATTGCAGTAAATTAGTGGCTGTTATAAATTAGTTGACTGCTCTAAGGTGTTTTCTCCCTAAAGCTGTCTTCCTACGTGGTAAAACAGAATTTCAGAAAATCGTCCCTTCCTCAAAACAGAATAAGAATGTGATGAGCCGTTTAGTCCAGGCCATTAAAAAGAAATATGGCCAACTTAAAAGACACTAAAATGGGCAAAAATAGGATGTGGTACACTGATAATAAATGCTATATTTCTGTCATGTAGAAAATATTTATACTGCCTCCATTTTCAGAAGTCCTTGGATGTGTTACTCTGACACCAATGCAATTTCCAGTTCATAACTCCATCACGCAGTTTCTGGTGGAAATTACTGCATTTGAGTGAGGACTTGCTTTATCAGGTCTCTTGGTTTCGTGGTGTTGCTCGTTTGCTTTTGAAGATGAAAAACCCTCCCAAGAGTTGACAGGGCAGGGGTCAATAGATCCCCACCAGTGTCTGGTTCCAGTATTTCCTTGGGTTGGTTGCTCTCAGCACAAACTCCTGATGGGTCTCCTTGCTCAGCAATGTTTGGGACTGTTGGGTTTTCCCTGCAGCTGGTGGAACCCCTGACCCCGAGCGGCACGGCGCCCAACCAAGCCCAGCTCCGCATCCTGAAGGAGACAGAGCTGAAGAGAGTCAAGGTGCTGGGCTCTGGAGCCTTTGGAACAGTGTACAAGGTGAGAGCCTTCCCCACACAGCCCTGAGTTCCCTCTTTCACCTCTGCAGCAGGCAACTTGTGCATTGCAGCACTGCAGCCTTGTGGGAATCCAGAGCTTCCCTCTGGCTGCTATGGGACCCTGACAGGGGGCCAGGAACCCCCCTGTACAGAGCCCCCAGAGACACTGTCTCTGATCTCTGTCCATGGAAAAGAGTTTTCAATCTTACAGGATGAATTACAAGTTCTGAGTGTTTGATATGAGTAATAATTAAGTGTGGCACGGATGCAAAAGTGAAATTTTAGGATTCTAGATAAAGGGGTACAAAGGGGACAAGATGTAGGAAATTGGGTGTGTCTTGTCCTTTTTCTCCTTCTTCATGCCCTCCATGTTTGTGTTGGCATTTTTCTGTTGGTTTAGGCTGGGGACACACTGTTCAACGTAGGAGACAGATATTGGCACATTATTGTAAATATAGCACAGGTAGTTTCTGGTATTTAATGTTTGTAACATCCCACTGAGGGCAGAGCCCCACACGCTGCCCTGCAGGACAGACCTGCAGCAGGGCAGCAGAACATGTTAAACAGAATAAATAACCTTGAAAACGAGCACAGACAAATTATGGCTTCTTCTTTGGCGATGGGGCAGAAAGACAGAGACTTTTTACAATCTTGGAATCATCAATACCACAGATTTCGACACAGCCTGTCCCAGGGGTGGTTCCTGAGCCCCGGGAGAGAAAGGACGCTGGAATTGTGTGCAAGGAACACATCCTCAGGATTGAGTTCAAATTGCAAATATTCTTTCTTGGTGAGCAAAGACATGTCAGCCCCAGTCATTTTTATGTGCAAGAGGGCTACACAAGCTGGATTGTCCTGCTGGCAAAGTGCAGCACCAAGGTTTGCCCTTCTGCTCTTACCTGAGAGCATCTTTTATCATATTCCATCTTTTGGAAAGATGAATAAATGCTTTCTGTCATTTCACAAGTGTCACATGGGTCTTGCACCAGCAATAATACCTAGTAAAAGCAATGCCACCACCTAAACGGTAGCACTTCTTGTTTCTTCCACTTAAATAAAAAAGATGAGTTACTTCAGAGCATACTTGAACAACAGGGATGTGAGGGTGGAACCCACAAAGGAGAAAGTACTTCAGTTAAAGAAGTATTTCTTTTTTAAAACCTGTTGGCCATGTCCAGATCTCAAAGGCATGAAGTGGGGCTTAGTGGGCACATCCAACCAATTCCCCAGTCCTTTGGGAGCAGCAGGTGGTAGATCAGAGCACCTGCATGTGTCCTCAAAGAGGGGAGGAAAAGAAGGAAGCACAGACCAGGTCGCTGTAGCTACAAGGTCATGGGAATAGATTTATGAATTACGAGTTTGAATGTACTTAGAATGTGCCATGAGATTGATAAGAGCACAGCAATAGTCAAGAATGATGGAAAAGTACCCCAAGACAGTTTGTGAATTTTAATTTTAAATTTCCTATTTAGCCACCTAAGTTTTTGATTCTCAGGTATTAAGTAATTAGACAAACAGCCCCCTAAATGCTTCATTCTAAGTATGTTATTCTCAGGGTTTTCTGTTCCTTCATGATGTTATGATCTGGTGATAATCAGTTTTGAGAGTTTACTGATGGCTTCAAATTTGATCATCAGAATCCAGACAGAAAATCCAGATTTTTGTTTAATTATATCCAAATCAGTATCAGAATTGTATCTGAGTCACTAGAAAATGTGCATCATGTCCATGCTGCCATTACTCTTTAGAAACCCTGTTGTAGACAAGAAAATCAAGGATGTTCACTGATACAAAATGTTTCATTTTATGTCAGAGTTTAGTTTTCATGTTAGAAGCAGTTTTATGGAATTCTTTTATTTTGTAATTTTGTGTATTCTCTGTTCTGAGTCCCATAACAGATCTGCATAACATGACAGAATGTGTCAAAAAGAACTGTAACTCTGGATCAAGTTTTTTTTCTGATTATTGTCTTCTTAGTCTTCTTTTTTCTTTTTCTAGGGGATCTGGGTCCCTGAGGGAGAAACAGTAAAGATTCCTGTGGCCATCAAGATCCTTAATGAGACCACTGGTCCGAAAGCCAATGTGGAGTTTATGGATGTAAGTAAAACATGAGCAATGTCTTTGGATTTTGGCATGGGTGGTATCTTTCTGTAGCCCACAGAGGTTGTAAAGGGAAGTTCTTGCCAATTTTCTTTCTTTATATTTAAATAGCAGAAAGAGGCTTGTACACAGTGCCTGGTGGGGCTGGGTTTTCCACTGCATGTGCCCCAAGATACTTGGAGTTTTCTAAGAATTTGTTTTTCTGTCAGTGTAAGACTAAAACTCTTCTGTCTCATGGGCCAGATATGGTATCTTTCTGTGGCAGAAAAGCCATGGAAGAGAGAACAGGAGTTGCAGGGGAGGATCTTACCATGCATGCAGGTCTGTATTGGTGTAGAAGCCACAGGAACAGAAATTCAGCTCAGTTTCCCCCCACTTTGGTGTTCCAAGACTCTGGGAGCTGGCAGCAGCTGCAAAGCATAACAGGGAGAAGGGGAAAATTAAAATATGCTGGATTTAAAAGCCCTTTTGCTTTACTAATCTGAAATGCCATGGATAAGAGGTCAAGATGGTAATTTCCATGAATGGTCTATGATCACAGAGGCTTTGCACTCAGTTTTGAGCTCTGTGTCAAGATCAAGGCTTACTGACACCATGAATCTCCATATCTTACTCAGTGACAATTTTTGATAAGTCATAGAAATTCGCACTCTTTTTGTAGGTCCCTCTTGTGAACTTGAAAATTGCATATGGCTTTTAAGTCTTGCTGACCTGTTCTGTGTGTAGGCCTGATTTCTAAACATTAATGAGACTGTAAGCCACAAGGAGAAGGTACCCCCATTATATAGTCTATTCTTCCACCTAGAAATGAACAGGAATGTGCAGCTTTGGATTTAGGTGCTCCAGAGAGCTGTTTCATGTCTGAGTTCTTAGGCAGTTGAAGGAAGGCTGTGTAGAGGAAGGGATTTCCTGTGTTTTTTACAGAGCACTACACATTTATGTTGGTTAGATAATTTCCAACCTTGATGATTTTATCATTCTGTGGTTCTGTTGCATTCAGTAATCATTTTGCACAAATAATAAATTTTTAAAAAAGGCAGTTTTGGCACTGTTTAAAAGGAATTAATTGCACTAAAGGGATAACAAGTATTAGATATCTTTTCTTAATGGACAAAGAATCTTGCTAATAATAGAGCTGCCCCAAGAGGAGAGGTGAGATCCAGTGAACTGGGTGTCAGTGGTCAGTCAGTGACACAGATTCCAGCCTAAGAGTGAGGGAATTGTTATCACTGTGTGGGACTAAGAAATTTGTGCCAGATCAGGATCTGACCCCTGATCTGATAGAGAAATAGTAGCAATAGCTCCTCCTCTGATACTGATTAACCTCAAAGCAAAGAAAACATAAGGTCCTTGACAAAAGGCAAAGTTGCTTGTGTGAGGTTCCACAGCTCAGCTCAGGTCAGTTTGGTTCACTGGACCATACTTCCCCCCAGTGTTTGCATCAAAACATCTGATAAATGGCTCAGAAATGAAGAGCCTTTTGGGAATTCTGGAGATTTTTGGCTGTAGAGTTACAGTAGGGAAGATTTCTCTTTAAATTAATACTTTCTCCTGAGTCTTTGACCCAGTGGCTGCAAGATGAGAGAAAAATTAAAGTTGTTTTTAGTTCTTGAGGTTAAAAATAGCCCTTAGATTGTTTTTAATCACAATAAAAAAAAAAATTAGACTTCATCATTAGTTAATACAAGTGGCAATAAGGAGAAATTATGTTTTCTGTCAGTGCTGGTTTTGATATATGTGCAGTGATTTGTAATCCTTTCCTGTTTTGCATTGATGAAGATAATTAAATTTCATTCTTGTGAAATAATTGCTAATCCAGTTATACAGAGGTTTCTTGCCATCCTTACCTCCCAAACCAGTTGTTTAGCTCCTGAAAAAATGCACTTTCAAAGAGAATGACCTAAGCATTATTTATGGCCTTAATGTGACTACTCCTGCTTGTCCCAAAAAAGACATAAACATTTAAAGCATTTAAGCCAAAATTTAAAATATGAGGAGATAACCTAAATATCTTTCACTGAAATGTATGTTAGAGTAAAAAAAATGTGTTTTACTCATTGTCACTTCAAGACTTTAGTCAGTATAGCTATCCTGATAAAACTGAACACTGTTTACTCATTTTATGAGGAAATAAACAAATGTGCATCTGAAAGCAAAATGCATCAGTTGCACTTCAGTAAAAAGAGTGTTATGAATAGTGGCTGTTGGTTAAAAGCACTTGTGTCAGATTTTGAAAGGTATATAGGTGGCTAAATGCCACAGTGAACATGGTGGGGTTAATTCTTTGTTAAAAAGGGTCTGCCAATGTTGGTAGTGAATGGGAAGAGGAGGTTAGTGGGAAGGTGCCATTATATGTGTCACACCCTTGGCTTTGTAGGTGTGCTTTTTGTCAGCAATTACTTCTTCCTGGGCAAGTCCTTATATCTGTAAGTAAAAGCCAGCATTCCTTTTAGAAAGGCTCTGGAAAAAGGAAAGGCTTTGGACAGCAGCAGTTTGTGTGCAGAGGGAGTATTTGGGTCACTTCAGTGTCCACAGAATTGCTGCTGTGGGTGTTAGTGGCACTGCCCATAGATCTGGTGAAAACTTCTGATGCTGGCAGAATGGGAGTCTAAAAGGGCTCTGCCAGCTCCTGAAATTCTGCTAAACGTTATGCTGAAGGAGTAAAGAAAATCATTTTTGGCTCCTGGGCTGTCATTTCAGCAGCCTGGAGCCCTGCTAATGGAGCAGTAATGACTGTCATGATATAATGCCTGATGTCAGCTCTGCTGCTCTGGCCAAGCACCTCCCATCAGGAGATGATGGATTGGCCACCATCCAAAAGCACAGCCCTTATTTGGGGTTTTTCTTGAGGGAGCCACGGCAGAGTTTGTTTTCCAGGCTTTCTCCACCCATTCCCAGCTGGCCCTTTCCCTTTGCTCCCTGTGTTTGTCCCTAGATTTGTCACTGCAGTAGGTCTGTGTCTGCTACAGCAACACAAGCTGGAATCTGCAAAGTAGCCTGGAGCAGGGCAGAGCCAGGCTGCACAGGAGGCCTTGTGCAGATCTGTCAATGAAGGTTTACCCCATTTCCCCACATGCTTCTGGGTGTGTATTGTGTATTACAGAGTCTAAAGGATTTTCCCCTCAGCATGGCCATGGGTTTAAGTTGCAGGGCAGAGTTTCTGCTCTGGCAGGTGCCCAAAAGGGGGCTGGAGTTTGAATTCAGAGTGCACCAGCAAGACACATGGGCACCAGCAGGGAGCTCAGTCCTGCTCCTCACCCTGAGCCTGGAACTGAATATATGATGGTTCTGAGTTTTATGGAGAGGAGAGAATATTGTGGTGAGGAAAACAGATAAATGTGCAGCTGAGAGGCTACTTGATAGTAGAACAGGGACTTACAGTTTCACTTGGGAAAGCAATTTCACCTTCTCAGCCTCAATTTGTTTGGCTGTTACGATGGTGTGATAAGTCCAGTAGCCATTGGTGTGGTCAGATGGTTTAACATCAGCCCAGATACTCAGCTGACAATGTACTAAATTCTAGAGACATGCTGCAGTTGGAAAGTACAGCAGTCTTTGAGGCTGAAAACATATCCTTAAAAAACTTGTCATGGAGAAACAGAGAGCTGATGAGGGCCTTTCCTCCAAGCTTGATGTTTCCAGGAAGTCATCCTATGAGCTGTGGTTGTGTCCAGGATTTTGATCCACTTACAAGTTTAATCTGTCCTCCCTGAGTTTAAATGCTCCATTATCTGTTAGAATATAATTAGAGGCTGCAAGCACAAGTCAGCATACACAGAGTTCCTTGGGAGTCCCTGAGCTCATTGAGATGAAGACAGTTTGACTGATGGTGGTCAGCTGATATTGGGCCAGAAGCTAATAATAGAAGGCAGTGCTGCTTAGCTAGGTGAGAAAGTTAACTTGGGAAAAATTAAACTGAAGGCTTTGGGATTTATGGCTGGAAATAAATTTCCCATTCTCATTTGTTTCCTAGTAAGAGAGCTTCAGAGGCAGTTGGTTTCTTTTATGGTTTTATAATTAAGATCTAGAGGCTTCCTGGCTGGGTCTGTGCTCGCTGCAGTTGCTGCTGCCTGCAGTGGCAGCACTTGGAATGTGGGAGGACATTTGTCACACCAAGTGCAGAGGTGGTGAGTGACAGTGACCTCCACCAGGCATGGAGCAAGCAAATTAAAGCTGCATGTAGGGGACTGACACCCACATCTTTTATTTATGTCCAGCCTAATGAACTAAATGAATAAATCACTCAGATGTGCTGCAGAAACAGCTTTTTCTAAATTGTATGCCTGTCTTACAGTAAAGACAAGCCCTCAGCTAGAGGATATCAATATCAAACTTATCTTCAGTTCAGAGGATCGAAGACAAAAAAATTATGTAGCTGACTAGAGAATTCTTTCTCCTGTTCAGCTGAAACCCCACAGAGATATGGATAGGCCTAGATGCTTTCTTTGTTTCCTCAAGTATGTCTAGATGGGAAGTACAACTAGCTAGCTAGTCAGGTGAAGAAGGTGAGAGAAGATTTACCTTTTCTTGGTTTCCACTATTGGCTTCAGGCATAGAAAGGTTCTAGACTGAAGATTTTTGATTCTTTTCTTGGCCCACGGTGGCATTCACAGAGCCCTTGAGGCTACAGACACACTCTGTGACACACAATTTCTCAGCTGAGGAATTGTACATTTGCCTCAGGTGCATTTGCCCTCAGCCTCCTTGTGTGCTTGCCTTATGTGACTATGTGGATGACTGGTTAAATATGTTTCGATATTTTATTTATTTAAATATTATTTATTAATATTTTAAAATGTTTTTAATTCCTTGTACACATCATGCTCCTGCCCAGTCCCGTGTTTGACCCAGGTCTTCAACAGACCATGTAGACGCTCCTGAAATTCTGAAAAGTCATTGCTGCTAGCAGTAGTTGCATCCAGACACTCCACAGTCCACAGTCATTCCACCTGGGAAATACAAGAGTTAATTCTGGATCTCAGTTGAAAGGGCAGGTT